TGGGATGGGATGGCACCCCTTGGCATTCCACCACCCCAACCCACTGTGATGTAGGGATCATGGAGCTGCAGGCCATAGAGTGTCCAGCTGCTGGAGGCCACAAGGGTGGTGACGGTCAGGGGAAAGGACAGGCACCGCGTCGACTTGCTCCGGATAACCTTGGCCTGCAGGAGCAAATGTCAGGCAGGGCCTGGGCTTGCAAGCCCCAGCTCTGCCGAGCCCCACACACCAGGTCAGCCAGTGGTGAGAGGTACATGGTGATGGTGAAGACACTGCAGAAGAGCCCCAGGTGTGTCAGGCGCATCCCTGTGTCAACCAGGTTGGTGAAGTAGCCATAGCCAGTGACCACCACAGCCAGGAGCAGCACGACCTGCAGCAGCACGGGGCGCTGGGAGGGACAACGGGACAGGGGGACGTCAGGGTGAGGGTCCTCCATCCTCCCTATCTCCCCAGGCCCCTGTCTCACCTTGGCAGGGCTGTAGTAGAGATACACCAGGATGTAGAGGGTCTGCAGAGTTGCCCCGATGGCATTGACGGTGATCACGGTCCCATCCCCCTTCAGGCAGCCATAGCCCAACCAGCTCAGGTTGCTGCAGGGATATGGCACAGGCACTTGGCTGCAGCCTGAGGATCCCCCTGCCCCTCAAATGCCTGTGACTCCCATCCCCAGGGCCCGACCCCGCTGTACTTGGCATCAGTGGTGAGGAAGGGCAGGAACTGGATGTTCTCCACACTCTTAGTCGCCAACATCTGGCGCAGGTCAGACCTGGGGAAAGCAGAGGGCAGTGGCCTCCTGGGTGCTCAGCAGTGCTGGGGTGAGGAGGGGGCTCCAGTCTCTGCAGCCAGCAGGCACTGCACCCCCCAAATGGGACTGTGCCATCCCCACCACATCTCAAATCCCTCTGCACCAGCCATCCACACATTGCACCCCCAAACTGGGCCTGATGCCTTCTCCACAGCACCCCTATGGCCCCCACTGCACCCCCAAAATGGCCCTGCTGCCCTCCTCATTGCACCCCTCTGGCCCCCACTGCACCCCCAAACTGGCCCTAATACCTTCCCTATTTTACCCCCAAATGCCCCTCCACGGCCTCCACTGCAGCCCCCAAAATGCCTCTGGTGCCCTCACAATTTTACCCCCAACCCTCCCACCAGGCCGCACACTGCACCCCAAAACCGGCCGTGGTGTCCTGATCGCACCCTCATCCCCCATGGACCCCAGTGCACCCTCAAATCCCCCTCCCCAAGGCCCCCACTGCACCCCAAAACCGGCCCTGGTGTCCTGATCGCACCCTCATCCCCCATGGACCCAGTGCACCCTCAAATCGTCCTCCCCAGACCCCACACTGCACCCCAAAACTGGCCCTGGGGCTCTCCCCCTCGCACCCTCAACGCCCCCGGCCCTCACTGCACCCCCCGAGCTGGCGCCGGTGCGTTCCTCATCGCCCCCGCCCCCGCCCGGGGCCGCCGCCGATCGCTCACAGGCCGGTGGCGAACATGGCGAGGGTGGCGGCCAGGCAGACGCCGGCGAGCACCGACAGGACCATGCCGGTCACCGGGGCAGCGGCGGGAGAGCGGCGGGGCCGGCGCTGCCCGCGGCGGAGCGGGGCGGGGCGGGACGCACTACCGGGGAGGGATCGGCCGCGCACCGGGCGGGGAGGGGCGGCGGGGATCCGGCTCCGAGCGGGGGGAGCAGCGCCGGCACCACCGGCACCGCCCCGCGGGCACCCAGGCGGCACCGGGGTCGGTTTTTGGGAGGGGGGGGGGGAGCACCCCCTAAGTCTCATGTATTGAATGCCCCCCCCGGGTCCCCAGTTTTAGGGGCCTCATGTGCTGGTGGCCCCAGGGTCAACCCCATGGTCCAGATTACACAGCCCGGGGGTCACACAGCCCTGTGACCCCCAGCTCCTCACCCCCGCCTCCTCCAGGAGTCACACGTTCCTGTGACAATTCCCCAGGATCCTGCAGCCCTGGGATCCACATTTCCATGGGCTTCAAGTCCCTGTGACCCCACTGTCCCAGGGTTCCCGCAAACATCCCGGGGGTCATTCATCCCTGTGAACTCAAGATCCCACCTCTCCACAATCTCGTCTCTAGGGTCCCCCACATTTGGGTGTTAAGCATCCCTGTGACCACACAAGATCTCACCTCTCCAGGGCCCTCGCTCCCTGGGGCTCTCAATTCCAGGGGCCTCAAATCCCTGCGATCCCAGCTCCCTGAACCCACAGAGTCTCACAGCTGAGGGGTCCCACATTCCTGGGGTCACCCCGTGGTGACCTGCCCAGCCCCCGGGGCTCTGGCTCAGGCCTCTCCTCACCGCTGAGAGGATTTGTCCCATCCCATGGGGTTTGTCCCAGGAGCTGCTGCCCCCCACCTGGGAGCTCTCTCCAGGGCAGGGGGAGGGGCCCCCACCCTCAGGGCAGGCCTTTGTGTCACCAGATAAAGCCGGGGACAGTGCCAGCCACTGTGGCACTTCGCCACTTAACAGCCCCGTGCAAACACCAGCCAATTAATTAATTAACCAGCCCAACCCCCCACAGGGGCCAGGAGAGCCTGGCCCAGGAGGGTGGGGGAGGTCTCAGGAGCTCAGCATGGTTTTGGTTATTTATTCCCGACAATGGTATAAAAAGTCTCGTGTTAGAAAGCTGTACAAAAAGGGGTGCTGGGGGGCCCCTCCGGCACCCAGCGGAGGGGAGGGATGGGGAAGGGGTGCAGCAGGTTGAGAAGTGGGATGTTTCTCATAACCCCGCTCCCCTGGCTGCAGGGCATCTCCAGCCTGTCTGTGCGCCCCGGGCACTGATACTGGGGTTAAGTGGCCCCCTGCACCGGTGTCACCTGGCCACCCCCATGTCCCCGCCTGCAGGACACATTCCAGTTCGAGCCCACCACGGGGAGAGCCCCGAGGGTGGTGGGCAACCTCAGCTGCGGGGCAGGGGTGCCAGCCCCCTGCCCCTCTCCAGTCTGGGGCACTTCAGTCCCTCCAGCTCCAGGCTCCCTCTTGGCCTCTGGCTGCCAGGACCATCCTGGAAGGGCCAGGGAAGCCCGAAGGCTCCAGCTGCTCCAATGGCTTTGGGCCGTCCAGCCCCGTAATACTGACAAATCCTTTTGTCGCCCAGATGTGCGCAGGGCAGGGCACCCGGGCCAGATGAGCAGGGACCACGGGGGTCCCCAGTGGCCACAGCCTCGGTGGGTCCAGGCACGTGGGGCAGCTCAGAGCCCCTGCGGTACCAGGAGAGGCAGGAGGAGGCTGATGAAGGTGAAGGGTCGGCTGCTGCTGCGCATGGCCGAGTTCTGCCCCACGCTCCTCAGCACGTGTGCGGCCGCATCATCTGCGGGGGGGAAAAAGAGGAGCCATCAGCAACCACCAACCCCAGAAGGCAATCTGTGCCCCAAGCCAGCAGCACATCACCCCCGCAGAGGGCAGCCTCGGTACCTCAGCCAGCTCCAGGGCTCCCCAGGAGGGACAGATGAGCTTAGCCCAGTACCCCTGGCAAACCCCTGTGCCCAGGCCAGTGCCCCCCACCTGCCTCGGCCCCCCCAGAAAGGTATCTAGGCTCAGCCCGGTGCCCCCAAGATCACCCTGTCTCCCCAGAAGGGAAGCTGGCTCAGTCCCAACCCACAGTCCCCAACACACCTGCCTGGATCCTCCCTTTCTGTGTCGAGGCCGGGGCAGGCGGTGCTGGAGCTGCGGAGCAAACAGGGGGTCACGCCAGGGAAGGGCAGTACCCCAACCTTCCCAAAATCCTGTTTCACTGTGGGCTGTCCTCCTCCCCCCGCCACCAACACCTTCCCGGCCAAGCCGCGCGTGCCCACACCCCGGGCTGGCCAGGGGCCACGGCCGGGCCGTGACTCAGCGCAGCCAAGGCCACACTGGGCACCGGCGCCACGAGCGGGAAGGAGAGGACGTGGGGGGCCCTGAGGGGGTGGTGATACTCACTGCCTTTGCCTGTCACCGTCACCTTCAGCTTCAGGCAGGCTTCACCGTGGTGGTGGATGGGCTTGGCTGTGAAGGGAGAGGCAGGTTAGGTAGGGATGGGGGGAGCCCGATGGCGGATTCCCTGCAGTACCTCAGAGCCCCCCCCGCAGCCTCCCAGCACTCACAGATGTAGTAGTAGCTGTGCCCCTCCCTGAACTCCTTGCCCAGCGTGAAGGGAGTGAAGCGCTGGAACTTTTCTGAGAACTTCTCGGGGCCGTGCAGGGCGCTGGGCTTGTCGCATTCCCAGCGGATCTGCTCCTTGGAGCTAGGCTTGCAGGCCTGGTACTCCTCCAGCTCCACCAGATACAGGGTGTAGCGCTCCATGGCCCGAGGGTCCACGCTGCCCTCCTCGTAGTGGGGGCAGATAATGTCCAGGTAGTCATTGAGACGAACCTCCACCGTGTAGTCACTCCACAGAAACCTGTGGCAGAAGGGTGGGCAGGGGGGTCAGCTCTGGGTTAGGGGTCTTACTTGTACCCCCAAATCCCCCACACCAGGGGGCCAGCACTCTGCCCACGGCAGCGCTGGGGTTGGGCACCCTTGGGTCCACCCTTCCCTATGCTGAGTCTTGCAGCACCTGGAATAGCTTTGAGAGGACAACCCCCACCCCTTCACTCTCCCTCCGGCTTGGCCCCCCGGCAGTGAGTGGTGAGCGCACCCCATTTCCCAGCGCTTCCCAAGAGCCAGGGAGCAGGGAGGGGACCCGCTGGGACGCGCACCCTGCCCGCACCCTGCCCGGCCCAGCGCTGCCGAGCAGGAGGCGTCGCGGCTCTCGCCGTGGGGCAGCCAGCGCGGCTCCAGCTGCGCCCCACACCCCAGCCGGGGGGGGCACGCTAGAGGCCTCCACAGGGTCCCCACCTCGCCGGCTGTGGTGGCCTCGAGAGGGCACAGCCACCCACGGGGGGCACCCCCTGCTCCCCAAACCCTGCGGGGGGACAAGGAGGACATGGCCCTACCACCTAGGGGAGTCCTACACTCGTGGGGGACACGGCCTAGGGAGGGGGGAGAACCCCCACAACTTGGGGAGGGAGTGACTTAAGCCCAGGGAAGGGGGGGAAGTTCCACATCTCCCCACGGGTGCCTAAGTGTGGGGCACCCCTAGAGCCTGGGGGTCTTGAGAGTGGGGGGGGGGGGGGGGGGGGGGGGCGGGGGGGGCCGGGGGGGGGGCCTGGGGGTCTTGAGAGTGGGGGGGGGGGGGGGGGGCTCCCCGAAAGCCAAGGGGAACACCTGAGAGAGGTCATGCCCTGGCGGGGGGGCACCTCTACAATCAGGGGGAGTCACGGCTCCGGACGGAGGGAACCCCTAGAGCCTGTGGGGCTGTTGCTAGACATGGGGTCACCCCGCAGCCCCAGCGGCCGGTGAGCGGGGGGGGGCCTCGATCCAGGTCTACCCCCCCGCACATCCTGCCCCGTGTTTGTCAACACGGTCCCCGGGGCCGGCGCCGGGGTTGGCGCCGCGCCCCCCCGCGGGAAGGAAGCGGCCCCTTCGCACGGCCCTGGGAACGGAAAGGCCCCCCCGGGCGCACCTGGACCGGCCCCGCCGCCCCCCGCACGGCCCCGCCGGCCCCGCACCGAGCTCCGCACCGGCCCCACCACCTCGTTCCACCGCCCGCCCCGCACAAAGGCCGCCGGGGAACGGAACGGCGCCGCCCGCGCCCTCGGGGCGGCCGGTCCCGGTCCCGGTGTGTGTTTACGGGGGGGTCCCGGAGGGAGGCGGGGGTCACTCACCGGGGGTTGGAGCTGTTCCAGAACACCGTGTGCCGCTCGGCCGCCACTGCCCAGCACAGCCCTAGCCCCAGCAGGGCCAGGGGCACCCCCGGCTGCCCCATCGCTCCGCGGGCGCTGCGCTCCACGGGCGGCCCCTCGCCCGCCCCCGCCTTAAGTACGGCCCCACCGCCGCCCCGCCTCCGCCACCGCCCCGCGCTCGCACAACAACACACGGGACGAGGTGGGGGGGGACGACACACAGACGACACACCCCCCACTGGTATCGACCAGGGGGACGCAAACCACCCCCACGCCGAGAGCGGCCCTAGGAGGGACACAAATACACTTCCCCCATACACCGGGACTGGGCTGGGGGTCGCAAACCCCCACCCCCCTACCGGGAACGGCACCGGGCAAGGGGACACATTGGTCACAGCGACGTGGTCCCCCTACATACAGCATCACACCTTCACCCCGCGCTCCGGGTCCGCCCCACCTCGATGCACACACACCATCCCCCCACACGGGACGGCCACAGAGCAGGGGCATCCCCCCACAAGTGACCCACAGCAGGTAGGGACTCCACACAGACACCGGCACGGCGTGGGGGGCAGGTCCCCATGGTCCCAGCTGCCCCATGGCAGCTCCCACCGCCCATGGTCCGGCGTGGGGTCACCTTCACTGGAGGGCAGCCCGGGCTGATCCCCAGAGAGTCACCTCGGGGGCCCAGGGAGGAGTGAAACCTCCTTACTGGGAGGTCTGGCTGAGGGTGTGGGGTGGGAGCTGTAGGTGCACACTGGGGGGCTGTGGGTGCAGGACAGGGGGCTGTGGCTGCACACTGGGGGGCTGTGGGTGCAGGACAGGGGGCTGTAGGTGCAGAGGGAGAGCTGTGAATGTAGGATGGGGGGCTGTGGGTACAGATGGGGGGCTGTGGGTGCAGGACGGGGCTGTAGGTGCAGGATGGGGGCTGTAGGTGCAGAGGCAGAGCTGTGAGTGCAGGAGGGAGCTGGGGGTGCAGGACAGGGGGCTGTGGGTGCAGGATGGGTGCTGTGAGTACAGGACGGAGGGCTGTGGGTACAGGAGAGAGCTGTGGGTGCAGGATAGGGGGGCTGTGGGTGCAGGACAAGGGGCTGTGGGTGCAGAATGGGGGGGCTGTGAGTGCAGAGAGGGGTCTGTGGGTGCAGGATGGAGGGCTGTGAGTGCAGAGGGGGGTCTGTGGGTGCAGGATGGAGGGCTGTAGGCACAGAGCCGGGGTGGGCACAGCGGGCATGCCGCCACTGCCTGGCGGGAGCGCGGTGCCTCGCTGTCGGCTCCCATTTGCTCTGACATGGATCCATCCGTGTCCTGGACAGCGGGCGACGCTTCGCCGCGTGTTGTGAAGCGATAACTCAGCCGCATTTGCAAAACAACTTTCCTCTTGTTTATTCCATAATGATCCATTGATTGTGGGTAATGTTGCATGCCCTGTGCCGCAGCGGGCGCGGAGCTCTCCCCTGGCACGCGGCGGGGGCTCCGGCAGGCGCCTGCACGGCAACCTGAGAGCGCCTGTGGCTCCTGCAGCCAAGGCATCCTACGGGCCCAGGCCGTGGGGCTGGGTGCCCCACATCCCACCCACATCCCTCCTGCATCCTGCACATCCCAGCCTCTCTCCCCACACCCTCGCTCCCAGGGAGGGGGACCAGCTGCTTTGCTCTCATGCTCCCTGGTTGTGGCCAGGCCTGACATCATCCATAATGACAGTGCAAGGCCTCTGTTCCTGGGATGCCGGCGTTGCCGTGGCTTGTACAAGGGAGCACCTCCCGGGAACACCCCTGGGATGCCAGAGCTGGAGCACGGCACATGTAGGCCACGGGGATGGGTGGTGGGAACCAATCCCAGGGTCCCTGCATTGCCCTGATACTGCCCCCTCCACCTCAGGGACAGACTGGGGAACCAAGGCAGGGAGCAGTGACGGGGGAGGGTTGGGCAGCCCCTGGTGCTTGAGCTTTGTGCTGGGCCTGGGCATAATGAGCCTCTCGTGGCACTCCTGAGGCACTGGGATGTGGTACCCAACTCCATTGGCCAAGGGGCTCCCCTGTCCCATCTGCCATGGCCCCAGCCCTGGAGCAGGGCCACCAGGACACAGGATAAGGGCTGGGAGTGAGGCCACATAGACACACCAAGACCCACTGTCACCACCATGCCTGGCCCAGAACACTGGTGGAGAACCAGGAGTGGAAAGACAAGCTCATGTCCCCTACTGGAGGACAAGCTGGGGCTAGACGTGCCCCACTACCTCCCTTGGGGCACAGTGGTGGGGCACAGGGTGGGCAGCACCCTGGGTAGGGTGGGTGCCCTCCTACAGTGGCACCGGGGGTGCCAGTGGTGGTGTGCACACGGTGCACATGGTCATGGTCATGGCCCCTGAGGGAAGGTGACAATGAGCTGGGATTGGTGCCTGTGGCGGGACAAAGGTGAACAATTTCGTGCTGTAAACATCGTTGCTGCTCCGCGTGGGGCAGGTGGGGCGGCCAGAGGCCGCCAAACTCGTGACAAAGTGTTTATGGTTTCTCGGCTGGGGACACCCGGGAGTGCCCGGCCACTGGCTGGCTGACGTCACCGTGCAAGGCTGGGGGAGGAAGAGGAGCCGTCCAGTTTGTGGCCGGGAGCGAAGGCCACGGTGACGTGCAGTGCCAGTGCGTGCAGCCTGGCAGGTAGGCATGGCAGGTAGGCATGGCCTGATGCCAGCCTGGTGGGGGTAGAGCTGCAGCCTCAGGGCTGTCCAGCTGTGCCAGATCCCCATGCCTTTGGCCAGAGAGCCCTGACTGGGCAAGGGAGCTGCCCTGAGGTGAGGCAGAGCCTCGTGCCACACGGCTGCTCCTGGCACACATTCCCTGCCTGGATCTGCTGCCAAGGCTGTGAAACCCCAAAGTACCCAAGGGGCACCCAAGCCTCAGCAGTGGGGTCCCAACAAGGTGGGACTTGGGGCAGCTGGGCTTGGGAATCCCCTCCAAAAGCACCACAGAAGACTCCTGGTGGGTCCAGGCTGTCCCGCTGTGCTCAGCCTCAGGCACAGACCTGAAGCAGACCTGAGCCAGGTGGCCAGGGCCCGCTGAGCCATCGGTGGTGCCACACATGCACAAGAAGCAGTGCCAAGGTCGAGGCAAATGGCAGGAGGGATCCTGCAGGCAGAGCTCTTTGTGCCAGGGCAGTGACTCCAGCTCTTGCACCCCCCCAGGGCACTGGCCACCTAAATGATGTCAGGCTCACTGTGCCACGTGCCACCAGCAGGGCACCACACTGGGACAGGTGCTGTGGCCAGTCCCTGGCAATCAGCACCCGGCCGGATATGGCCCTTGGCAGCGGCAGTGGTGCTGCCCCAGCCACACCGTGCCCACCCTGCCCTGCGTCAGCAGAGAGCTGCCAGTGGCACCTCAAGACCCCGCGGTGGGGGGGATCCATGGCAGGGATCTCAGCCCCACGTCGGGCCAGGCCTGTCGGAGCGCGGGGGGAGCGTGGGGAATCCAGCGCCTGCTGGGAGGGCTGCCAGGACCCGTCTGACGGGTTCGTCGGCTCTTCCCGCACCCGGACAAGCCCGGGCCGGCGGGACACCCAGCCACCGCCCAGCAGCGCCTGCTGGGTGGGGGAGAGCGGCTGTCCTGCTCTCTGGGGCTGTGAGGACCCCCTTCCCTAGGAATCCACACCGGGAGCGGGGCGGCAGCTCCCTGTGGGGAGAGTGGCTGGCCCCCTCCCTGGGGGCACTGGGACCTCCCAGCCCTGCAGAGTGTAGGGTCAGGAGCCCACGGCTACTCCCCTGTGTCTGTGGGGGCTGTGGGGGTCTGGGTGCCTCAGCAACACCCCCCTTTAGATGAGACTCCCTCCCTAGGCACAACCCAGCCCTCACATCCCCTTGGCTGGAGGCGCTGGAGGGGGGGATGACGGCGTCCCCCATCCCGCAGGAGCGTGCGCCAGATGCCCCCAAAACAGGCAGGAGCCGGCATGCCCGGCAGAGCCAGACGCGCCGGGGGGGGTGATGCTGGAGTTCCCATGGGGCTGCCAGCACCCCATGTCTGCTCACTGTGCAGCCCAGTGAGGATGGCAAGGAAGGCTCTCCTGCCCCTGCTGCTGCCAAATTCCACGCCAGCACCCCCAGGGCTGCGTGCCAAGGGCCCCCCGCGCTGCCCTTACCTTCAAGAGCTCCTGCTGTCCACGCTGCATTCCAGTGGGAAGCACCGGGTCCCTGCCAGATGCTTCCTGTCAGGGCTGGGGGGTCGATGGGAGCAGAGCCAACGGTGGGGAGCACCCTGCATCCTCCTGCCAGCGGTACCGAGCCCGTGGCTGGAGTTGCCGTGCCTGGCAAGGCGGGTGGCACGGTGGTCAGCCCTCTCCTGAGCGCCTGTCCGGGCAGGAAGCCCCTCCGGGAGGGCCAGAGCCCCTCCGAGGGCTGGAAGTGCTGCATGCCACCATGACAGGGATCCCTTTTTTTATCCTTTTATTATTTTTTTTTATAGACTAAGAGCAGAATATGAAAATCACCAGCCAAAGCACTTGAAAAAAAGATCGAGAATGTTTTTTTTTTTGTTTTGTTTTCCCCCAAAAAGTGTCTGTGCGTTTGCATAGGTCGGGTCTTCACGGAAGACGAGGAAAATCCAACACGTTCGACTATGTACAAGCCAGCCCGGGGCCGGCGCCGCTGCCTATGGTACAGTATAGATATATCTCTGTAGTCGCTCTCTGTACAGTATGTATAGATCTATATGGGTATGTACAGACTGCCCGGCCATGGGGGTCCCTGCTCACATCGGGCTCCCCCCAGCCACGGGGCACCGGGGGGGCTGCGGGCAGGACCCCTCGCCCCGGGATGGTGTCGGCGGGAGGTGCAGCGCGCCCAGCCTCATCCCTGCGGACGTGGCCGTGTCATCCTCTGGCGGGATGGGAGGCGAGTCCAGCCGGATCGGTGCTTGCCATGATCCCTGCCCCGCGGGGCGGCTCTCCGGGCAGGGGGAGGTGCTCTCCCGGCGGTTCCCCGCTGGCTCTCACGAGGGGCAGCAGGTCGGGGGGGCCCCATTCGGCAGAGCGGCTCTGGCCGGGCCCCCGCGGGCGCCGGGAGCTACGAGGCCAACAGCGTCATGAGGAAGAGAGCGGCAGCCACGGCCAGGGGCAAGTGTTCCCGCTTGGGGCTGGTGCCGCTGATGCTCTTCTCCAGCTTCGGCATCTCCGGGTTGAAGTTTTCTGTGGGGAGGAGCGAGAGGGTGAGGAGGGCAGCGGGGCGGCCCCGAACCCCCACCCCGTAGCTGGGGCTGCCCCAGGGGCGGCGGCGGGGGGCGGGGACACGGCGCTGTGGGGCCGGGGGCTGTGCCTGACTCACCCAGGTCCTCGATCTTCACCTCAGGCCGCAGGGTGAACTGGGGCAGGGTGGGCGCCAGCTTCTCCCCGGAGTGCGACGCTGTGGAGGGAGAGAGGGTCGGGGGTCATGCTTCCTGGATGCCCTGCACCGCAGCCCCCCCTATCCCCCCAGGAGGGATGGGGGACCCACCGGCCAGCCTCGCCGCCCCCGCTCGCCCACAGCCCCCGGGATTGGCACGGAGGTACTTACTGGAGGCACAGCAGACAAACACCTTCATCTTCAGGCAGGCCCGGCGGTGGTTGTGTGTCGGCGTGGCTGCAAGGCAAGAGCGTGCTGAGAGGGAGTCCATGGCAGTGACCCCAACCCCAAGCACCCCGAGGCTTGGTGGGTCTGGGCAGAGGGGCGTCTGGTCCTGCCCAGGGGTGTGCTCTGGGCTGGGGGAATGCAGCAGCACCCCAAATCCTGCTCCAATGCCCTGTACCAGCGCCCCAGCTCTGAACCCTCAGCCCCTACATCCCAAACTGACACCAGGATCTGGCACCCACACTGCAATCCTGCAGCAGTAGCCCCTGAACACTGATCCTGCATCAGCATCCTGCATCCTACATCATCATCCCCCAGCACCCCATCATGCACTGGCAGCCCCATCCACACGCCCAACCTTCTCCCCATCTTCCCCTACATCCTTATGTGTTCCACGCATCATGTAACCCCCCCCCCACCCCCTTGTTTCTTCAACTCCTTCCAGAGCTCCAGGTGCCCACTCTTAGGGGGGGAAACAGCTGCCTAATTTTGGGGGAACCAGACAAGGGGGTTCTCCCTGGGGACGGAGAAGGGCCCAACTGGGATAGGACCTGAGGGGACCCATCTGGGGTTGGGGGCTGTGCGGGGGTCCCCCCCTGGCGCCCCACGTACATATGTAGTAGTACTCCTGCCCCGCACGGAACTCGTAGCCCAGTGAGAAGGCGCTGTAGCGCTGGAACTTCTCCGAGAACTTGATGGGGCTGTGGGGCGCGTGGGGCCGGTTGCACTCCCAGCGCTTGAAGCCCTGGCTGGTGTTGCAGGTGCGGTACCCCTCCGCATTCACCATGTACAGCACGTACTGCTCCAGCCGGTGCTCGGGCACCGAGGCGTTGTAGTGCGGGCAGTAGATGTCCAGGTAATCGTTGACATTCACCTGCACCGTGTAGCCCTCCCGCCGCAGGCTGCAAGGGAAAGAAGGGACGGGAGGTCAGGGACACGCCCTGCACCTCCCCAAACTCTTCCCGTCCTCCAAGGAGACCCAGAGGTTGGACGAGGGGCAGGTTGCAGTGAAGGCTGCAACTCTGGGAACAGTGGTACCCCCTGTTCAACCTCTGTCTGGAGCCCCCGACACTGTGGGACCCCTGCACAACCTGAGCCTCATGTACCCGTGGAGCAGAATCACCATCCTGGAGGGCACGGGCAGACCGGGGGGTGGGGACAGGCGCTGCTGGGGACGGGTGTCAAGCCACATGCACAGGTGGGATGGGTAAGAGCACGGGCGTACGAGACGGTGCTTCTGGGTCTGTCATGAGCGTGCCGACAGCCTCAAAGAGGAGACGATGGACAGACAGACCCAGAAGGGCATCAGGTCCCTACAGGCACCAGGGTCTTCACAGGACACAGTCCGTGGGTGTGCGGGGGCATTCCTCGGCATTCCCCATTTCCAGCAGCCTGGAGCCTGCCCACCGCTGCCGCCCACCACGGCCCCGGCACGCGCCGCAGCTCGGAGCCAGGATTTCTCACCCTGCTCTGGCTAATCCCGTTAGTTCGTTAATGCCGTAAAGGGTGGCCCTGGGGGAGCCTCATTTACATTGATTAGGAGCAGCAATCCCCTCAGATCCACTCAGGAGAGGCTCCGCTGGCTCCTAATCCGCGCCCGACGGAAATCCCGGCCGCGGTAATCCTCGCCGCCGCGCTGACCCGCTGCTCCTGCCAATTAATTACCACCCGGCGCTGGCTCGGCACCGAGCCGCCGCGGCGGCACCGGACCCTGACCGGACCACGCTCCGCCGCCCGCTTCAGCGCTGCCCCGGGGATCTCTGGCCCGCATCCCGCAGGACATGGACCGCAGCATCCCGGCACAGCTCCCCTGTGGAGCTCCAGCTCACGGCGCATCGCTCTGGATCACAGCCTTTTTCCCACCTCCCAGGGCAAGCCCCAGACCGTGAGCCCCCAAAGCATCACTCCAGGTCTCCTTGGCTTTGGTGGGGGGGTTTCTCCACCCCTCCTGGAGCCGAGCGGCTCCCTGGGTCTCCCCGGCAGGGCTGGGCAGGCAGCGGGCAGGGCTGCGCGTGCAGACGCCCCACCCTGCACCATCGCCCCCGGCGCTGTTTGAGGAGCCCCGGCACTCCGCCAGCGCCCGCGGCTCCCGGAGCCGAGCGTCGGAGACAGAACCGTAACGGGACGCGGTGTCGGGCGGCAAAGGGGGACCCAAGAAGCGCCGCCTCCGGCACCGGGGGGCAACAGGGGAGGCTGACGGCAGAAGTCATCACCCGTGGGACAGGGAGCGCAGCCCCACGCGGCCCCTCCCTCGCTGCGCAGCCGCTATTCCGCAGCCCATCCCGGCACCCGCCGGCAACTGCTCCGCCGGGAAGGTGCTGAGGCAGCCACCCTTGCTGAGCGGGCGCCGGGACCTTTCATCTTCCCCCTTTGATGTGGTGGGAAGGGGGGTGGGGGGAGAAAAAGCCTTGTTATTAAAGAAATGGCCCCAAGGAGAAAATTGCAATTAACTCCACGCGGGACGCAGAGCTGGGACGCCAGCGTACCCCAATACCAGCTGCCCCACACCGGGGCAGGCACCGGCAGCCGGGGCTCCCCGCGACCGGGCCGTGGCTGTGCCATGGGACAGAGGGACTAGAGGAAGCCTCACAAGTGACACTCTGTCATGGGGTGCTGGGGAGCAGTAATCCCCCATTCCCTTGTGGCACCCAGCGCCGAGGCACAGTCCCCTGGGACCCCACGCTGGGGCTCGTTAAGCCACGGCTCATTAAGAAGTGTGGCTGCTGATAAACAGCCTCACTAACGAGGCACCAAAATTTCCCGTGGGCTGGGGGGACACCAGCATCCATGGCAGGGTACAGGAGCCCCAGGTGGTGTGGCATGGGCCCTATGGAAGTGAATCCCACTGGCATTGCCAGCTGCCATGGCATGCCGGGAGCCCACCAGGCATCATCATAAACTGGGAGGGGCTGGGGAATGGCCTCATACGGGAAGAGCTACAGGGCCACCACAGCCCGAGGCACATCCAGGCAACCCTGGTAGAAGCTTTGGCCACAACACTGTCCCTGCCATGCTTGGCTTCTGCACAGTCACTGCAGATCAGCACCTCACGCAGCTAGATACCCCCAAATCTGGCAGCCCCCTCAGCGCAATGATCCAAGTGCTCCAAGATCTGCTGACAGCATCATCCAGGGAGCCCTTGGGCCTTGGTTTGGGGTGGAGGGGCAGGAACAGGCACACTGAGAGAGGAGCTCTGCCTCCTTTCTCACCAGCACCCATCCTAGAGCAGGCATGGGCTGCTTGGTTCCTGCCAACTCCACAGCTATCGGGAAGCACCAGCAACCTGGGCTGGGCTGGAGCCTCGATACCCCAGACTCCAGCAGCCATGGCATGGCCGGTGGGGATGGTGGGCTCTGGCAGTGCCCGAAGGGTTAAGTGCGTGAGGAGAACGGGCAGCATCACTTCTGCACGACTGCGTTTGTAGAGCAGGGCTTGGTGAGGCAGTGGTACCTTCCAGCAGCCTGTCATGCTGGGCAGATGGATGTCCCCTGGCAGCACCGGCCCTGGGCTCATTGCCCACGGGCCTCGCACCGGAGGGACCCTGGAAGGACCCCGGTTACCTGGCACGCCGCAGCCACCGGTGAGCTGGGCGGCTGCTCCGCTCCCATCTGCTGCCATAAATCCGGCTGCGTGCCGCACGCTGGCTCCCACACTGCTGGGGAGCGCCTGGTGCACTGCAGCACGCCCCGGCAGCAGTGGCACGGCGGGGACCAGACCTCTGTCTGGACCCCCACACTTCGGAGAATCATTCCCATGGTGCTGGAGATGCTTGGATGGCAGCAGGGCCAGAGCTGGGCTCAGCACCCCACATTGGTGGTGCCAGTGGTGAGGAGCAGGGCAATGCGGAGTGTCCTCGATGTGGTGACAGCACGCTGCCCTCCAGCACTGGACAGCCCCCAGCACAGCCAAGCTCTTTGTTTGACTCCAGCAGCTTCGTCCTTTTGGCGCATCCGGGGCCCATCCATCACCCGGGGAACAAAAAAGTGCCATTGATTTACGAGTCCCCTTCCCGTCACCCCGCACCACAGCGAGAGGCAAAGGCGCATCGACCACGGAGGCCGGTCCTACCCCAACGGACGGAGGGACGGACGGACAGACCGCCCGTCCGCTCGCACCCACCGCTCCGCCGCAGGGGAGATGGGGGGCTCAGCGCGGCCCCCCCGTGCCAGCCCTCCCCACGCAGCCAGCGCTGCACAGTCACGGCGCCCAGACGGCCACGCACACGCGCGCTGGCTCGGCAGACAGCGCCTGCGACGCAGCCCACGCACGCGGGTGGCACCGAGCCACAGCACAGCCCCCCCGGCCTCGCCTGGCGCAGCCGCAAGGCGCGGGCGCTAAAGGCATCGCCGGCACACGGTGTCCCCAGGGCCACCTCCCTGCGTGGGGAATTGGGGCTCCGGGGGGTGGGGCGGGGGGGGATGGGGGGGAGGTGGGGGCTGCTCCCCACGTGGAGGGACCGAGGTGTCACCGGGCAGCACCGGCGTGAGAGGTACAGCCGTCCCCGAGCAGCCCGGGACTCCAGCACCACCCTACAGGTGCCCCCACCACCCCCGTCACTATCGACGGCCATACAATCCCTGTAATCCCAGCTAAAGCCGGCACCTTCCCGTGTTGCTAACAAGATCAATGAGATTTCTAATTGGGTTTTAATTAAACCATCAATCTGCAACCGGTGACTCAATTACCAGCCCGGGCAGGAGCAGGTGGCCCCGGCCCTGTTGCACCCCGACACCGCTGCCGCTTCTCCCACGGGAACGCCGTCCGTGCTGCCGGGGCTCGGTGCCGCCCAGCACCGTGACTCACGGGGCACGGCAAGCTCTGCCCATGGGCACCCGCTCCTGCCAGAGCTGTGGCGTGGATGGATGGGTGGCTGGGGTTTCTGGGTGCCCTGGGACCAGTCTGGAGGGCAGAGCCATGGGGTGAGGGCTGGCTGAGCCCCCAGCCAGGCTAGGGATGCCAAAGGTGGTGTCACCGGCGCTGTGCCTACATTCAGCTCCACAAGTGGGCACGGAACTGCCCCTGCTTGGGCACAACTGCCCTGCACCTTACAGCACCTCCTGCTGGATGCCCCTAAACCTGCGGGTCCCTCCTGCTGCGGGTGCCAGTGGATGGGATGGGGGGAATCCAGCCAGACACAGCCCTGCTGTTTGGGTCTGGCTATTGCAGAGGTGCCTGGGCCCCTCCAGACCTGCTCTGCAGGGATGTGGCTCCTCTCCTGTGTGAGATCCTCCCCGGCGAGCCTGCTCTGCACTGAGACTTTCCAGAGCCCACTCCAGCCCTCTCCAGAGCCCACTCCAACCCTCTCCAGAGCCCACTCCAGCCCTCGTTGCCTGCGACACAGCCTCGGCCAGATAAAAGCCACCATGAAGATGTGAGCGTGGTGGCAATGCCAGTGCTGGGAGGAGCTGCATGAACTGGGAGCCTGCACAAAGTGCCAGACCCTCCCTGCACACAGGTGGGCACCAGCACCCTGTGTACTCCTGTCTCACAGCATCCCCTGCTCTGCCCCCTCCATGGCACCCAGTGCCCTCAGTACGAGCATCCTCAGGCCCCACACAGGGGTCAGTGGCACAGTGTGGTACACCCCAACCTACTCTGGGGTCATTCTTGGGGTGCAGCAGTTTCGGGAGCGCAGGCCATATCTGTATCCATGAACAAGGACAAATTGCTGTCCCCATCTTGTCACCTGGGACACCCAGCACGGAGATAGTCTCCAGCATGCCAGGGTCCAGCTTGTCTGGGGACACTCCAGGAACCCCTGACCCTGCTCAAGGAGTCACCCCAGGATCACAGGCCCCCAAAAGCTACTGCTGGGTGGACATGACTGTCCTGCACTTTTGTCCCATGCCACCAGGCCTATTCCTGGCAGGACTGGGGAGTGGAAGGCAAGGAGGAGTCCAGGGTCATCCCACACCCCCAGGGCTTGCTGGCTGCCACCAGTAGCGGTGATGAGACAGACAGATGGAATGCACATCTGGACCAACAACCGGGCTGACCAGGAGCAGGATCTGAGGATCTCACCTTCACACCTCCCCTGAGCTTTGCCAACACACCCCAAACCCACCGCATGAGGGGTGCTCTGCCTACTTGGTGACCCTTCCTGGCCTCCTGGCACCCGCAGCCATTCCTTGCGTGGCCAAGGGGCCGAGCTGCCACCACCTCCCTGCTTCCCAAGGCACCATCGGGACCACAGTGGGCTCTATGGGCTGCTCCCTGCTCCATGGGTTGCCCCTTGTCCTGTCGTCCTGCTGAGGGCAGCAACAAGAGTACCCAGGGTAGCATGGCAGGAGACACAATAAATTCGTGGGGTGGCTGACACAGCCCCCAAGGAGTGGCCACAGCCAACCACACATCTCCTCCCCAGAGAGCCCTGCAGGGCCGTGCTGGGCTTGTTTATGGCTCCGCTTGCAGCAGGGTTGCTGGGATTTGCAGGCTGCGGCCCAGGGAGCCTAATTCCCCCCATAATTTATCTAATCCAGACACTTTGCCGTGCGGCTATAATTGCGTCCGAGCTGCCGCACTGCCTAACAATAAATATCAGCTCCGGAGTCCCTGGGACACGGCTCTGCCGCAGCCGCCCCCACCGCGCCGCCCATGCCCTGAGCCGGACGCTCACGGCCGCGCCAGACACGCCTGCGCAGGGGGTGCGGGCATCTGGCTGCGACACCCCCGGCTTGGCATGGCCCGAGCACCTCCGGCCCCCCCTCCGCCCCGTCCCTCGAGAGGCGCCGGGGCAGCAGCAGGTCATGGTGGTGATGGGGTGGGGACCCTCAGTCACGGAGAGGTGAAGGTAGGGGTGGTACCACCCGCCGACGTCGTGGCAATGTCACGGTGTGGGGATGAGGCTGGGGGTGAAGGGGGTCCGGCCGGAGCAGGGGGGTGCAGGGGGATGCCGAGCGTGGCAGGGCGAGCACAGCACCTCGCCATTGTGCTGCGCCTCGGCACGTCGCACACACGCACGATTTATGGGGCCCGAGCTTCCGCCTGGCGACACAATCTCAATGGCAAGGAAGGGGGCTGTCGGGGCTGCTCCCACCCTGCACAAAGGGGTGTGGGATGGGGGGAGCCCAGGACAGCCCCTGCACCGACGGGCACCAGAGGATGCTCTGGCTGGATGCATGTCCCCGCCACACCCCTGGGTACTCGCACCAGCGAGGGATGGAGAGGTGGGCGATGGCAGAGGGCGCAGATCCCCGTGTAGGGGGCAGTGGACTCGCCACAGGCACGTAGCCCCCTCCTTTGCCGGGAGGGTCCAGCCTAGACCGTCCCCAAGGCACATCCGCTCTCAGTTTGGGTGCGCCGGCGAGGGCAGAGGCAGCCCCGGCGCAGGGTGTGAGGGAGGGGCTGAGTGTCCAAGGCCACCGACCCCCGACTGCTCTGCTCCCGCTGGCCACTCCCACCCTCCGCTCTCACCCCCCCACTGTCCCCGCAGCTCCGGGAGCCACCGCTGCCGCCCCGGGGGTGCCACTGCTGCCGGCCAAAGGCGGTGGGGGGCGGCAGGCACCTGTCGGGCCCCCCCGCCTCCGCCGCGCCGCCGGTGCCGCTCCCGCACCCAGACATGCGGGGGGCGCGACTGGCGGGGGGAGCGGGACCCCTGCCCTTCCCGGCGCGCCGGGAGGTGGATGCCTGGGGAAGCCAGACTCTTCTCGCTGCCCCTCGTGGGTCAGCGGTGGCGGGGGGAGCTCTTCCCCCGGTGCCCACGACCCCGTCGCGCCCGCACCGGGAGCCGCCGAGCCCCGCCCGGCAGCGCGGCCACGGGGACACGAACCGGCCGGGAGGCTGCCTCCCTCCCGCCGCCGCGATCCCTGCCTTCACGGGCAGGGCGAGGGGCACCGGGGGCACCGGGGGCACCGGCACCCGGGGCCCGGCAGCCCCGCCCGCACGAGGGCGCCGCGAGGAGACCGGCACCGAGGGTCCCGCAGTCGCGGTGTCGCCCGCCGCCCCCAGCGCATCCTTCAGCGCGATCCCCGCCGTGTCGCCGCCGCGTCCTTCCCGGCGGCGCCCCCCACCCCGCGCGGCCCCGGGGACATTCCCCCCCCCACCTCCCGGTGCGGGTCCCGGCGCCCCCGCCCGCACTCACTGCGGGTTGGAGCTGTTCCAGTGCACGGCGTGCCGGTTGCCCAGGGCCCCCGGCGGCCCCCGGCCCGGTAGCAGCAGCAGCAGCGGGAGCAGGGGCAGGAGCCCAGCCGCCATCCTGCCGCCGCCCGAGCCCGCCGCGATCCCGGGGAATGGAGGGAGAACCGAGCCCGAGCCGCCCGCGCCCCGCGGCCCCGGCGCCCAGCTCCGCCCCGCGCGCTCCCGCCGCCGCCGCGCCCCCGCGCGCGCTCCCGCCGCCTCCCCGGGCCCGCCCGCCCCGGCACCGGCTCGGCACCGGCACCAGGCTCGGGCTGCGGGTCCCCGCGGGTGGAGACACCAGGGTCGGGTCCCAGGAGGATCAGGTGCCACCGGAATCTCACCAGGACCCCATGGGTGGGGGCACCTGCTGACATTGGGGTCTCTCTGGGACCCTTGTGGGTGGACTCACATGTAGGTGCACCCATGCCTCTCCCAGTGGGATCAGGTGCCACTGGGGTCTCCCTGGGACACCTGCAGGTGGGGGGCATCAGGACCCACCGCTATTGGGGTATCCCTGGCTGGGAGCTCTGGGCCTGGAGGCAGCAGCCCCTGTGGGTCTGTGTTGCTGAGGGAGCCGTGGGTGGGGGGTCAGAGGGTCCTCATGCTGTGCCATGGGGGTCACACATATTTGCAGAGGGGTTTGGCTGCCCTGGAGGCACAGGAATGGGTGGGAGGGTGTGTGCCCACATACCAGGACAGCCTGGCTACCAAGGAACACAGTCACAGTGCCAGGCTGTGCCGCCTGCCCTGACCTCCCTCAGGAACCAGCACTTGGCCAAGTGCCCACCACACGGCCAAGCCCTTGTTCTTCCCACACCCCAAGGGTTCGTGGAGTGGAGGTCCCTGGGGGGAGCCATGGGGGCTGTGGGTGCTCCCCTAAGCGCTGGTCCCTGCCACCCATGTGGGGATTGAGCTGAGTGCCAGCTCCCACTGCCTGTCCCCAGCGAGATCCCTTAGCAACTGGCGTGCAGCACCGCCCGGCAGAGCCGAGTGCCAGGCGATGGCACCCTGGCACATGTGCACACACACGGGCATGCTCGCACCGGCGCGGGCACACGCAGCTCAGCGGGCACACGCAGCTCAGCGGGCACACGCAGCTCGCCCCCAGCTCCCACGTGGGGCCACGCCGAGCGCGTGCACAGCACCACTGCCGGCCCAGCAGCCTCTGCCCCAGCAATGCTGGTGTCGTGCATCACCTGGAGCTTTGGCAGCCTGAGGAGCTTGTGAATGAAACCAGGAGGCTTCCGAAACCGTGGCTGGGCTTGCTGAGCCGGCCTGAGCTGCTCCTGCCAGGAGCTATCTCGCTGGCGTGGTGAGCGTGGCCAGGGTGGAGCAGTGCCAAATGTCATGTCCCCAAGTCCCCCAGTGGGCCTGGTGACTCCCAGGCCTCGGCAGGTGCCACAGTGTAGGTGACCTGATGCTGAGTCTTGAGGGGTCTTCTGGCTCCCCAGAGTTTTGGGAGGAGCTCAGCGTGGGAAGAGAGCCACCCCATTTCTTCTCAGTGCCCCTTTGGCCATGTGGGTGCTGCCCCAGTCCATGGAGGGGGACAAAGATGATGATGGGCAGGGCCTCTGGTCCCACCCAGCACTGTGGGAGACCCAGTGCTGTGATGCCCATGGCAGGGCTGTGCCCCAGCCCCTATTACCCATCCATACTGGTGGCACTGGGAGCCCAAGCCCCTGCTGGAGCCCTGCTGGGAAGGGGGAGGGGGCCAGCGGAAGGGCCCGGAGGACCAAAAAAGCCTCTATTAATTATTCATCCGAAGAAGTGAAGTGAAGAAAACACAACACGTGGAAAAGGGCTCTGGCTGCCTGGGGGTGGGAGTGGGGGCGTGATGGGGAGGGGGCTGCAGGGGCTGGGGCACTCAGGTGCTGCCGGGGCTGGGGCACTCAGTGACAGCGGCAGCGGTGGCATCCCGGGGTGCTGCACACCTCTGGGAGGACCCACAGCACCGCGCTGCCACCATGGAAACGCCTTGGCTCGGCAAACCCATGGCAACACCCACCTCCACATGGAAACCCCCCGCTCATGGCAACGCACGCACCGCCGTCAGCGCCCGTGCTCACCACGGGGGTCCCCCCCGCCACGGCACACCCGTGTGCAGCGACACGGAGGGATGCACCGAGTGCTCTGATGGAGATGAAGGCATCTGGGTGGCAGAACACAGCCCCGGAGCATCACAGTGTGCACTCATGTGCAGGTGTCGGCACCCACCAGGAATTACTCCTGGTGGAGAGAGAGGCACAGAGAGGGGGCTTGGCTGCGTTTTGCCTCAATGGGATGTGGTGTCTGCGGTGGGATGGCTGAGGGACACACCCAGGTGGCTTGGCTGCGTTTTGCTTCAGTGGGATGTGGTATCTGCGGTGGGATGGCTGGGGGACACACCCAGGTGGCTTCGCTGTCAGGTGGCTTCGCTCCCTTCGCTGGGAGGACGTGAGGCCTTGAGCTGTCCAGGAGAGCTAGGGCACAGAGCAGCCCTGGTTCTCCACTCTTTCCATGCCCCTCTGTCTCCTGCACTCTGTGCCTGTCACGCTGAACACCAGCAGCTTTTGGCGTCAAAGCAGAGGGGAAAGCCTCCCACCTGCCATCCATGAGCACCGAGGGGCTGGAGGGCGTGCCCGGCGGGGCAGGGGACCCGCTTCGCCCGCCTCGGTTAATATTTAACCGCGGCTTCCTGTGACAGAATGTCGCAACCGCAGAGCAGAGCCGGCATTCAATAAATCATCGCGCCGGGCTGGGAGCTGGGCTGGGGGAGTGGGGGGGCAGCGCCCAGCCGAGCGAGAGGGGGAGCCGATAAATAATTCATTAAATAAATAAACATGGTGAGAGTGCGGGGAGGAGGCAGGAGTGTAACCAAGAAAGGGCTCGGTGAACGCGGGCATGAAATATTCACCAGCCACACCTACCAGGGCCCAACGCGCTGAGCTCAGGGCTCCCGACCCGCCTGCGGGAGCCAGGTGCAGGCACGTGTCCAGCCAGACACGGCAAGAACATGCCAAAGGCATGCAGGGCGGATGGCCTGGGTCGGGAAGCTGGCAGTACTGGCATGGCCACGTGGAGATGAAATGTCCCGGCTCCTGCCAGCTTCTCCCGGCGGTGTTTGGGGCAGCCCCTCACAGCCCCATGACGGTATTTGGGCACAGGTCTATCCTGCCAGCCTGGCATGCCTGGGGCACACTCAGCCCACACCGTGTGCCCACTGGCTCCCAGCCCCGCTCCTCCCTTTTATATCCCGTGTCAGTCGTTAAATTTGAATGAAGCCTCACGGATCGCTGCGCCAGTGCCTTGACGAGCACCGGGCGGGCATCGCCTCGGGGAGGGCACAGGGTCTGAGCCTTCCCATTTCCCAGGGAGAGGGGGAAGACCCAGCTCTGGAGGAATCCTGGGGGCCATCCTGGGCTTGGGAGTGCTGGAAGCATGGGCACAGGGGAGGTGAAAATGGGCGGCCGTGCCACCTGCCTGGTGAGCCACAGGTCCAGAGAGAGCAGCCTCTTCCTAGAGGGACCAGACACGAGCCCTACTGCACACAGGGACATGGGAGCGATTCGTTAATTAGCACCTCAGCGGCCTGAGTTAATTTATGTGAAGCTGGATTTTGTTGGCTTGCAGGGGAGGGTTAGTTGACACCGCAGCACCGGCCACCAGTGAGGGAGCAGAGGTGCCAGGCAGCAGTGCCAGTGCCGTCAGAGGAAATCAGCTTCCTCGTGGAACTGAATGAAGCTGTGCGTGGTTCCCAGCTCCACACCCGCCCACCCAGGCGCTGGGTCTGCTCCCGCTGCCCGGCGGGAGGGAGGAAGCTGCAGGGTTCCTGCCCTGGGCGCCAGACGCCTGCTTGCCGGAACCCTGGCTCCAGCAGGCTCTGCTGTGCCAAAGCTCACCCGCCCTGGGTGTGTGGGCACCCAGAGGTGCCGGGTGGGAGGTGTGAGCCACCAGCTCCTCATGGCTCCCACGGCCAGCAACCACGGTCCCGATGGTGTCAGGGCATGAGGGTGATCCCAGGTAGAAAAGGATGACCCCACAGCGCAGCACAGCCATCCACACTCCTGCTTTAGCCCACCCTGGGTGCTGGTCCGGTGTGCCAGGCAGTGCCAGGTCCCGTCTGTCCCCTGTGCCACATCCCTTGTCCCAGCAGCCCACACGCCGGCGGCGGAGGTTACCTGGCAGGAAGCGCCTGAGTCAGCAGCCGGCACCGGGTGACTCAGCCGGCTCCTCTC